TCCCTTTGGCGGAGGAGAGAGAGAGAGAGAGAGAGAGAGAGAGAGAGAGAGAGAGAGAGAGAGAGAGAGCGCGAGAGAGAGCGCGAGAGGGAGAGCGCGACAGAGAGCGAGAGAGAGAGAACGCGAGGGAGAGCGCAAAAGAGTGAGAGAGCGCGAGAGAGAGCGCAAAAGAGTGAGAGAGTGCGAGAGAGTGAGAGAGCGCAAGAGGGAGAGCGCGAGAGAGTGAGAGAGCGCGAGAGAGAGCGCAAGAGAGTGAGAGAGCGCAAGAGAGTAAGAGAGCGCAAGAGAGAGAGAGAGAGCGCGAGAGAGAGCGCGAGAGACAGAGCGCGAGAGGGAGAGCGAGAGAGAGAGCGCGAGAGAGAGCGACAGAGAGCGAGAGAGAGAGAGCACGCACGAGAGAGAGAGAGAGAGAGAGAACGAAGAGAGAGAGAAAAAACGGGCGAAGGGAAATGGAGGGACGAAAAATCGCGTGTAACTCGCCGGGAATGCAAATAAAGCGCAATAAATAGAGCGCCGCCGCCGCGATTGCGCCGATGTCGCCCGGAATTCTTTTATCGTCCACTCCTACTCCCTACGTTTGCGCTATTGTTGCACGAGATTCTGTACCGCTGTTCACCGCATCGAACCGTTTCGGATTCCTCTAATTCGAGATTCACCAACTCCGGCCATTTCTCAGCTTCTCGAATCTCGACTCGAAATGCCCCGGAAGGGTGTCCCCGATTACTAAACCGTGATTCCTTGGAATTATACGATGAAATCTGTGAGCCAGAAAGTTCGATAAATCGCGGCAAAGTTGCTATTTGCAATTTACTGAAATTTTCCTACAGAAGTGCGCAGAGTTTCGCGGTATTCTTGCTTCGCATTAATTTGCAGCAGAAATGGGTATTAGGTTTATCGCTTTCTTCACTTTTCAATCGTTTCGTCGTACTAATTGAAATGTTGCGGCTGCTTTTCACACCGAAATCAATTAACGTTTCACCTATAAATTAGAAATTATATTTTTAATCTATAAATAAGAAATTGTATTCCTAACCTGCAAATAAGGATTTATATTTCTAACCTATAAATAAGAAATTATATTTCTATCTTGTAAATTAGAAATTACATTTATAACCTATAAATAAGAAATTATATTCCTAACCTGTAAATAAAAAATTATAGTCCTAACCTACAAATAAGAAATTATATTCCTAACCTACAAATAAGAAATGATATTCCTAACCTATAAATGAAAAATTATATTCCTAACCTACAAATAAGAAATTATATTCCTAACCTACAAATAAGAAATGATATTCCTAATCTACAAACAAGAAATGATATTCCTAACCTACAAATAAAAAATTACANTCCTAACCTACAAATAAGAAATTATATTCCTAACTTACAAATAAGAAATGATATTCCTAACCTACAAATAAAAAAATTATATTCCTAACCTATAAATAAAAAATTATATTCCTAACCTACAAATAAGAAATGATATTCCTAACCTACAAACAAGAAATGATATTCCTAACCTATAAATAAAAAAATTGCATTCCTAACCTACAAATAAAAAGATTACATTCCTAACCTACAAATAAAAAATTATATTCCTAACCTACAACTAAAAAACGACATTCCCATGTCAACGACTTATAGACCTTGACGTCTAAAGTTGTACATCCTTTGTATAAAAAAAAACATAAAAAAACAAACTAAACAAAATATCTCAGAAACAATTATTTTTTCTAAAAATCATTAACTTCGTTTCTCTTCCGATCGAATTCACTTCCATGCGATCTCGTAATAAAAATTATGTTTGGCATCATTACCGACCGCGTTGCCCTTTCGCAGCTAATTTGCAAAATTCTGATTTATCCGAACCGCACGGATAACGGCAACAAAGCGTCCACCGATCGGCTTCGGAGCGTTCGACAATTTCTATGTTCGCGTTTCCGCCGTTCGAAATTCCGCGGTTATTTATTCGAAGACACGCGACGGCGATTCGCAGCCTCGCACTTTTATAGTCGCGACTCTCTACATCGCGGCGCGGCAATAGTCTCGTAATAACGACCGCGCCGGTAAATAAAAGCGTTCGGCTAATCGGCCGGCTCCTCGACTCGCATTTTCAAGCGGCGATTCGAATTTATACGAGAATCGCTATCCAGAGCCGAACGCGATGAAAATACACCGGTTCTTCACGTGAAGTAAGACCAACCACGGACAACTCGTTCCGTTCGGCAAATTACCCGTGGCAATCGATGAACGTGAAAAGAATTATTCGCGATCGCGCATCCTAGTTTTCCGTCGTAACGACGGCACGGCTTCGCAACCATAAAACGGGCCGGCGCGTAATTAATTCTATCCGAATGCGTACTCGATAGCCGCGCGTTGCTTTCCGACAATTATTTATCGCAGGCGTTTCGGGAATTATGATCCCGCTTCCGCCCAATCGCTCACCTCGAGCATCTCGCTGTTAAAGTAATCGAGTTCTTGCACGTTCGAATCGTCGAATGAATTTTCAACGAATCACACAATTCCGCGGTAAAAGTTCAATTTTCTGATTAAGAATACAAAAAAAGAAAAG